TTGCCAGCCAACTCCGAATCAACTTCAAGGCAACAATTGCAGCATGTAGCAAGTGAGTCTCCTACTCTGACTCTCACACACTGGGTGCATTGCATATAAAAACTTAAAGCAAATGCAATCTTTCTATGCAGCATGCATACAATAGATGAATACCAGCAATGACTGAATAATCTGAACATCCAAAGTTGAGATTGTTAATAGAATTGTGTGTGCATTTAAATGCCACGCAGAAGCTGATCTTTTCTTTGCATTACCTCCATGTTTCTTTAGAAAATTAATGTAGATTTGTCATTTTTATTTTACCTATATTTTACCAGGGAAAAACCATTGAGGTTTCAATCCATTTTTTCAATGATGCCCTGGCCAAGACGGCAGCATATAAAAACACAACAACAAGATCATTGTACAGAATTTTTAAAACTACAAAGTAAAAAACTTCATTTGTCCTTAGAACAAGTTTTAATATGAGATGTCCTTGAGCTTGCATCCACTTGAATTAATATTGAAATGTTAGCCTGTATAGACAATGCCTGCTCAATAAATTAGTCTGCACCACATACCTTTGTGATACAGAACAGATTCATAATTTTTTTTTTAATTGTCATTGTCATGTTTAATTATTATAATTATATTTATTGTTTTAAATCCTGGCCTTAGCAGGACTACATACTGTAAAACCCATGGCTTAGTTGTGTCCCTGTCATCACTGGCTTCAGGTTTGTTTATGCATTGTATTCCCCTCCTGAAATTCATCCACCAGAGAAAATTTCATTCAGGGCTATTGACCCCTTTACAATCAAACCACTGGATGTCAAAGCCATCACTGGCCACACACATGCCACCAGGGGATGAATCCTCATTGTAGAGGATCACTACTATAAAAGTAGGTTTCCATAAAAGTTGCTCATACTCTTCAGCTTCTGCATATTCTTTGACTACTACAAAGCTTGGAACAACAAGCTTCTTAGCATAACGCAGCTGGTGCCCTGTCATTGGTCCATATGGTGCAGCAACAGAGATGTAATGTGGAGGCATTTGCTTATTGGAGGAGGGGAGATTGACTGTTCTACATGCCATCATTGCAAGCAAGGTATTGATATTGTGGTGTACTTTGCAAGTGTGAGAGCCAGAGAGGCAGAGAGCCTTAACTGAGCCTATACCCATGGGGCTCACTGTGACCTAGATAGCACAGACAGCAATGTCCTGTGCCTGTTAATAGAAAGGGGATGGGTGATGGCATGGACTTAACTGGACAACTGATATTTGGCAACTGTAATCAATCTGTTAGGTACCTCATGCATTTTACATCTCAAATAACAATAACTGCAGTTCAGTGGTCAAGGGGATACATTTTACAGTTTTCTTGTCTTTATATACTGTACTTATATACACTATGTAACATATGTACACAGGCTTATTTTTGCTGCCAATATTTTTTGTCAGTTGGCTGTGGCCCCATCCTTCAAAGAGAATTTGTCTTCCCTCCTCATCTCTCTCATGTTATGAATTATTGTTTCACAGGAGGCCTCAGGGAGCCAGTGTGCTCAGCAGTGGTCAATGAGACTGGCTTCAGGCTGTATCACCTGCAGTGGCAAACCACAGGAGCTGCTCAAGATCTATGGCATCTACAATGATGCCATCGTCCAGGCCATCTGCAAGATGCTCAGCAGCTCTGCCAATGCCAAGTAACCTTCTCCTTGCCCCACCCACCAATTTGAATACATCCCTGCAGATTAGGATAAGCAGACACATTTGATTTTGATTCATAAAACTCCTTCATTGTGAATGCCCCTAAGTGTGTTCTAAAGTAATATGATTTGGTACTGTACATTTCGAAATAGAATTCCATGCTAACTTCACACATCCATCACATCACACACACAAAGACAAGAAAGACACACATACAAGCACATCCACATTTCTAATCTCAGCACTGTCATAAATCTGGTTCAGTAATCAAAATGTGGCCATATCTGACTTTGTTTTTGGTGGATGTACACAGTCCAAAACAAAACATCACTACATGTTCATCATGTGTATGTATGTTTATAACTGCAGTGTTTGGCACAACAGTTTGAAGTTGTTTGTAGAAGGCAGTGAAAATGATATAGGTAGGTCATAAAAAGCAGTTACACAAAACCACAATTCACATTTATGGACATTTAAAACTTTTGTTAGCCCTGCAATGGATTGGCGACCTGTCCAGGGTGTACCCCGCCTTCACCCAATTGCTGGTCGGGATTGGCTTGAAAAAACAAGGTCATAAATTTAAGATATTAAATTGATTCAACTCTTTTAGTCAAGTAGAGTTTAGTGAACTCTCAGCAATTCATTCATAGAACTCATTTCAAGTCAGAAGTCTATAAGTTTAAAGTCTGATTTCACTAAATTCCTATTTGTATTACAGTGTAGTTTGAACAGGACACATACAGAAATCTGAACTTGAATTTATAATTGAAACCATCATAAATGACAACATATATTAGTAAGTCAGTTTTAAGTGAAGTAATGTGCCTGCATTATTTATTTATAAATTAATTTTGTCTTTACTATACATCACTAAACATGTTAATACATTTTTTATAAACTAGAAAATTACCAGGTAAATATGTGATCATAAAAAATAAAAAAATCTTAAACATGGACGTTTCCATGGTAAAATTGATGTCTTTTGGCATTTCTGAGGAAGGTCATTGGATCAATACATCTCTGCCCTTGGACCCTTCAAATATTCTTATTGCAACTTCACCCTTTCTAGTTGTATAATCCTTCTACCACCAGGGTTATCGTCTCTCTCTGAGCTTCCTGTACAAAAGAGAAAAATATTTGTAGCTCAAACAAATACCAACTGTCAAAGTCATGTCTGATGAAGCTGTTAATGTACAGGAACAATGTGCAAAATTTAAATCAGTGATTTTAAGCTTATTTACCATAGAGAGCTGCATTTTCGTATTGCTCCCCTAAGAGCAAACACAATGATTCCACATCCATAAGACAGTGTGTAAACTGGAAAAACAGCATAACATTTACTGACAGAAAAAGCATTTGTCCTGTCCATTTGCATAGTTTATGTACTGTAAAGTCATGTGCTTTACCATTATATGATTTGAGGTTCAGGATGGCCACAATAAGTGCAAAACAAAATCCCCAGTACAAATCTACAGAAAGTTAGAAGGTTACATTAGCTTTTGAAAAGAATAGCTCAGTTTTATCACTTAAGTTGATTATTGTTTAAAACATGTAACTAATGTTATTAAAATATTATTACAAAAAAAAGTATTGACTACCAAAAATCATTTCTATACTATTAGATAAAGAAAAACAAATAAGTAAAAACAAACAAAAAACATTTTAAATACATTTGTTTAGTTATGAATGTATATTTTGTTGGTAATATTAATCTGTTGAAAGTTTATGATTAACCACTGAAACAAATCATTTTCAAGTGTTTACGTAGGTGATGTTTAAATTAAATATATAAAGTACCTCCTCGTTCATAGGGAGGGCCTTTACATTTCCTAGTATGAGCTGGCAAATCTGTCAGGAAACAAAACATGAACACTGATATTGTCCTTGTCCAACAAACAAAGATTAGATGGTTATTTAAAATAGCATGTATAGGATTTGAAAAATCAAACACATGGTAAAAAGAAATTACAGCATAATATGTTTTAAAATACTGATTCAAATTTTAAAATAAATTTCAGCTTACCATCCATGCTCATGCCCACAAGCTCAAACACTATGGTGAAAAACATTATGGCGACAAACATTTCAAGAGATGATGTAATTGTGAGAGCTGGAAATACAACACAAATAAACAAAAAAGGGCAGGATTTTCATTAGTGAGATCACTAAACATGTACATTGTCCCATCAAATAGCGTATTTATTTGCATGACTATTTATGAACTTGTATATCTACTTACGATTATATGGCCTATAGAGTGCTGTTCCCCATCCCAGACCAAAGCAGGCTGCATAAAAGTGGTAATATTTGTCTGAAAATAGCAAGAAAAATAGGTGAACTTAAGAAATCTCTCTTTTTTTTAAGTGATTATCTTAAAGGACAATGTGTGCCACCACACCTCACTCAGGTAAACCATTTAGTTCTACATACAGTGTTGGTAAAGGTCAAACATTCGGAATCGTCGATATGCCTGAAAAAGAAACATTATCATGATCTCTTGGAATAGACAGGTCAACACAAACAGTTTGACAGCTAAACATAAAGTAGGCTGTTGCTAGAGACAGACAGGTGGAGTGAAAGAAAGAGAGATAGAGGGAGCAGGAGAGAGACTTTATGAGATTACCACAGGTGGAAGACCCTGGAAGCCAGAAACACAGATGTACACACCATTTAGGTTCAGCTGCAGGCACACAAGTTTAGCAACAAAAAAGAATTCAAACACCAAGAAGACAACTTCCTGTACCCAGTCAAACCACTCTGCCAAGTACAGAGCAGAAACATACAGGAAGTCCCAAATATGAATGTTTTGCTTTCACATTCATGCACTCTGCCTTTAGGGTTGTAAAGGAATAGAATGTGGCAAGGCCCCAAAACCCAAGAGACCTTTGGGACTCTACACATTCAGTCGTGCATTTAAAGGACGAGTTGGACATCTAAATGAATAAAATCTACTTTTTATTAGCCATTGATATCAGTAATGGCGGTACAATGTTTCAGTCATTACTTTCATTAAGTAAGTAATGAAAGTAACAATCTGAAAATGAAAGCAAGTTCTGATTGTGCTGAATCACGTTTATACCTTAATGAAAAAGCTGAAAATGTCATGTTTGGACTCATGCTCATGTTTTTCTGTAGTTTCCCCCCGGATTTCCTGTCTCTCCTGCCATGTCAGCTCTACCAGCGTAATTAGCCATCATCACATCCACCGGCTGTTCATTATCTCCCGGGCCACGCTCCCCGCTGGTTCGTTTGTCGACTTCCCCGTGTTCTTGACCAACATAGATGCTCCCTCGCGATTCTCCTACCTTTCCCCGACTGGCCGCCTGACTTACCTCCTGTACGACGCATTCAACTCGCCTCCGTGTGTGCAGTCAAGCCAGCGTCCTGCTCTTTCCCCAGTGAGTGGTTTCTCCCGGCGTACCTGTGTGGTGCAGTCACCTCCGTCCCTGTTACCCAACTAGCGTCCTCCTCCCTTACCTGCTCTGTATCTGCACCACCTCTCCAGCCATTACCAACTCTGCACCTGTCTCGTCTCCCCAGCCACAATCTGCAGTCCCAATTCTCCGCTCTCCAACCCTCCGGCTCACAGTGCCCTTTCTCTTGTTCTTTAATATTAACTCTTTGTGCTCCTCTCCCGGTGTGTGTCCGTACATTGGGTCCCTCTCCCTGATCCTGACAAACAATTATTAGCTCTGTCTAGTCACATAAATAAATAAAATGGCAGCAGGTTACTGTAAATAATTGACCATTGATCATGATAGTTGTTGGTTAAGAAAAGCGCTAATTACAGTCCTTTCTACATTGGGTAACATTTTAATTGAATATTTTTGCGTTTGGGTCTGGAAGAACTACAAGACATCTGAACACTTTACCCCACATCCCGAGGGCTGTGGGAGCTTGTGGTGAGAATTTTTGCCTTTTTTTGTACATTAAACCACAGATTAATCAATTATAATGGTAAATAATCATTGCTGCCATAATGTTTTTAATAAATAAAATAAATGACCGGTCTCGTGGATTTAGTTGTAGTTTCATTATAATATCTCTAGATGTCAGTGTTATACTGACATCTTCAATAGTTACTGCTGACGCGCGCAATGCATTCTGGTATTTAAAGTCAAACTGCTAGCTGACGTACGTAGTTCTGGACATACCGATATCATAATTAAAACTACATTTCCCTTTTCATTGACACAGATTTGAATGCCTTGCTGGGGTAGCTTTTTCCAATCGATGATCTCAACTTAAGTTTCCTCTGTCAGCTTCAAAAAGAGACTGAGGAAACTCCTTTAGAATGACAAAAGCGTCGTCTAGGCTAAGCTCTGTGGAAAATTGCGTCGCAAAAAGGCAAAGGAAACAAACATCCATTTAAGTCTTAGCAATGCGGTTCAAACAAAGAAGGCAGTGATTAGTGGTCGCGGTGGTGTCCTTCGCTGCTCCTACTAGCCAGGGCTGGGTCTCTTTATAGCTGGGAGTCGGGGGCTCGCCAAGATGTCTACAGAGGAGCAAGAATATCCCGAAGCGGTACTGGTGACAGAGGCCGGGCCGCAGTGGCTCCGAGCCGAGGTCGAGCGTCTTACCAGGGAGCTCCGTGAGACGACCCATGAGAAGATCCAGGCGGCTGAGTACGGGCTGGCTGTGCTGGAGGAGAAACAGCAGCTCAAGCAGCAGTATGATGAGTTGGAGACCGAGTACGAGGCGGTTCGACAGGAGCTGGATCAGCTGAAGGAGGTAACCCGAGGTCATAGCCACGCAGCCATACACTTTTAAATACGTTAATTTGAACAATAAGCAAGTAGTTATTGTATTCCTTTAGTATGTTAACAGATCTGGGTGCAGCTGTTTACCAGCGGGATTGAACGTGTCAGTCTGGGCCACCCGCTCTATAATCAGAACCACCTTAGGTGGGCCTTAAAAGACACCTGGCCCAAAATCTGACCTGGTGTCCTTTAAGGTCAGTAATAACTTGTGCCTCCAAGAACCACAAAGTTTCCTAACATGTATGAAAGCCTCTTCAAATGTCATATGATAATCTATCATATGGTTATGGCAGCTTATCATGTGGTGCCCAAATGCTCTTCACTGTTATCTAAGCACAGTTCAGCTAACGTCCATAATTTGTTCATATTGTGCCAGTACTTTTTGACCACATGTCTCAACTTGCTCTTGGTATTGTTAGGTATTTTTAGTCAGATAGATATTGGATAGATACTTTATGTATTAGAAATGTTTAGTGGAGATAGGATGTCTAGTTAGACTGTTAAATGCTTAGGCATGCTTATGAGTTTCTACAGGGTACATCTGGTCAAGGATACTAGAGAGAAGAGTTGATGACTGTCAGCAGACAGGATGTTTAATATTATTATTATGACGTGTATAACTGTAGCCTTAGCCATAATATGTTCTTATGTTTAAGTCACGACATGTTACTAGAAGTCGTGAGAATGTTTTTAGCTACACACCACTTAATCAACAGACACACACATGCACATTGATTTGCTGCATGCTTTGACTACTCCTATGACCAGCTGCAAAGCTGGTAACAGAGACGTCTCGGTTGACGTTTCTGTGTAGTATGGGGCTAGCCCAACCGAGGGGATATAATGTATAGGCCTGGTGGGGTCAGGGGCTTTCATCTTACATCTGCCTGCGAGCAGTATGGAGGTGCAAGATACCTGAGCGTGTAATGTTAATTTTACCTGTGATCCTTTGAATAAATCAGCCCTGTTTTGAAGTTACTTGGACTGCCTCGTCTCTCAGAGTTAGCAATGGTAAGAAGAACCAAAGTCCTTCAGTATGTAGGTTCATACTTTCCAATCAGACTAAATGTCTGCAGCAGCAGCACTTTTGCCAGATCTGCAGCCTACTGTATGTGGCCAACCCTGTGTTCATTTATTTGAGTCTAAAAACAGGAAGGGTCAGGCTTTCGTGGAAAGATATGCTTCAGGCTTGTGTAGTTCAATCAAATGTAAATCCTAAGAGAGACCCCTCTGTGGTAATTTTGTAACTCTCCTTTCCTAAGGACCCTTTTGCCTCTTTGGAGGCAGATTTTTAACCCACAACTATAACAGTGCTGCTATAACTCAGCTGCCTGAGGCTGGTTTTCCCCATCTCAGCATTACAATGCTACTGAGATCCTAACTTGAGGGGAATTTTGACTGTATTTTATAAGAGAAGTTGGAGTTTTCATTTCTGTTTAGTAGCTATAGTCAGTCAGTATTCTTGCAGCGAGTTTATCAGTCTTTAGAGGAACTGCATCCTAAGGTGCTTTCACATTGACTTTTACACTTAGCAGTTGTGTTCACTACTTTTCATTTACTATACCTCACTTGCTCACTCTTAATAATTTAGTGTATTGAATCTGTGTGCATTGTCTTTAAGCTTAGCCAAGTTCACTCTGCCAGTGTTCTTAGTTGTTTCCACAAGATAGCAATATTTCTTTGTGTATATTTCACTGGTAGCCATAAGGCCACAAGTGCATTATGCACAGATAACTGCTGGAAA